AATGCGTGGATCTTCTGTTGAAGTATGGTGCTGCTGTGTAAGTCAACCACCTGTTTTTGTTATTTCTTAACATTGGCAATTCCAATATGTCATTTGTGTTTGACTTGTCGAGACGATTACAGCACGCTCCAGAATCTGGACGGGAAAACCCCCATCGAGGTTGCCAGGCTCAACAGTCAGGATGAGGTTCTCAAGTTGCTAGAGAAGGACGCTTTCCTATAGAGAACCGCCAAGCTAAAGTGTATCAAGCCGTCAAACTATTGGTTTTACATTGGTTTATTTATCTCGGTTTGGTGTGGTTGTGTCTGTAACTTTGTGATTTTGATATTCTTTTCATAGCGAGTGCCGTGTTTCAGCTAGTCCATGGGTAAGAAGTGCCTGGGCTTGTTCCTGTGCTCCATATGGATCTGTCGTCACAGTTGTTCGTTGTCACAAGAATCGATTCGATTACAGCCATTACCGTCATTATGAAGGCTATTTTTCTCGATGTTTTCTTCGGTGGGACCGTGGGGGGCAAAGGACTGACTGTAGTCGCCCCCAGGTCCTGAAATCAAATGGTGCAGTACAGCTGCAGCCTCCGGGGGCAACAGTTTTTATCAGGTAAGTACAGGCAGAAATGGTGCTTACAGCATCACCGTCCGATCAGCGATTGTGGATTAGTTGCGTGTAACTGATGCGTGCTCCTACAGAGCTGTCAAGCTGCAGCACCGGTATGCAGATGGCGACGGATATGTCCTAGTCCTACAAGCTGTAGGCTAGCGAGATCGTACAGGCCGCCACCACAACACCACGCCCGTCCGTTGTAGACGACAGCACTCGCCTGCGGCTGTCCGAGAATCCGAGATGGACGGGCGGTTGGAGGCCTGGATAACTTGTCGGGCAAAAAAAATGTTGCCTGAGAAGTTTTGTCTCAGAGTTGTGGTGGACGGGCGGATGGACCCGCGGGTCGCCACCAACCACCACCACGCCGAGCAATTTAATGTCTCGTCGGATAGAAAATCATTTTAGCGGTAACACAGTAAGACTGTGTTTAGTCCGTCAAATTAGAGAATTTGGTTACGATAGCACTTTCGTTTTTATTTAGCAATTAGTGTTTAATTATGGACTAATTAGACTTAAAACGTTCGTCTCGTGATTTTCAACCAAACTGTGTAATTAGTTTTTTTTTCATCTACATTTAATGCTCCATGCACGTATTGCAAGATTTGATGTGATGGCTACTTAGCACTTTTTGGAAAAGTTTTTAGCAACTAAACACAGCCTAACTCTTTTAGTAGTATCAGTAACAGTTTCTAAGCAAACATTAGTACTTTCGCCTTGTTTAGTTGGACACCAAAGTCCAAAAAGTTGTTATAGTATCTGTCATATCGAATATTTGCGGCTCGTGCATGGAGCATTAAATGTAGACGAAAATAAAAACTAATTGCACAGTTTGGTGGGAAATTGCGAGACGAACGTTTTAAGCCTAATTAGTCCATGTTTGAACACTATTTACCAAATAAAAACGAACGTGCTACAGTAGCCCCAAAATCCAAATTCACCCAACTAAACAAGGGCTTTGGTAGATGATTCTTCAAATAATCAATAGTATACAGCACTTGATTGCATGCCAGGCAAGCCAGGTGCACCCAGGCATACAAATTTGCTCGCCTGGACTTCGAAGCATTGCGTGCAGGCAACGTTCCAGGATAGCATCCAAACGCCATCCAGTCAGCTTCCAGGCAACCTGACTCCCAGTCAAAAGAGACCCAAGCAGTCTCCTCAACTAGGCCTGGGCTGTGTCTTCTCCGTTAATGACGTCGTATCGTATCGGATCGACCAAGCGGTTCTTCGTCGCAGGCACGTACGTTGCCTCGCTAGGCGTCACCTTCTACTTCGATCAGCCCAGGCAGTCTCCTCAACTGAGCGTCGAGCCGCGCCTGCTCTCTGCTGCTCGCCTGCTCCGCTTGCGCATCGGTGGGTTGCTCTCCAGGCAGACTTGCCAGGATCGAGCCGCCTATTGCTCCATCCATTTTAATTTTTTAAATTATAATACGTTTTACATACAGAAAGGTGAATGTGCAGGTCAGATAATCGACTTTGAATTATAGATAATCTAGATCACCGGATTCCATTAATACCATCCTACTTCACATCTGCGTATAATTAGATTTTGATTATCCATGTCATGGATGTCTAAAGACTAAGGTTTTGTTTGCTGCACACAAATCTTGGATTAGGGTGGATTTGTGTGCAGCCAAACAAGCCCTAAGGGGGCTGTTTGGTGCCCAACCACTCCACGCCACATGAGGTGTGACGCCACCGCTAAAACTGTGGCGATGAAAGTGGCCGCCACAACTATGGCGAAGATCAACGCACAAATAAACTGGAAAGACACTATAACTACCTAAGCTTACACACAATCCAAACGCCAACATAGGTCCTGTTTGGGAGAGCGTTTCTGAGTCTCGCTTATAAGCTGAGCAGGCTTATCTGATAAGTCACGATCTGAAGAATCTGTTGTCTGAATAAGCTGAGCGTTTGGCTGTCCTGATTATTTCTGTTAGATTATCTGTCGTGGATGTAAATTGACCTATGTACCCCTAAGGCCGATGATACCTCTTTTGGTTCGTCACAATGATATGAAGGCAATGGTGGGAATATTTTTAAAGTTTGAGATAGCAATATGGTTCCATTAAGTTGCAATGTACAATAATAGTCGAAAATAACATCCATTTGGGTAATGTAATTACTACAAAATACACAAATTTCTAACAATGAATCACCCAACCAACGCATTAGCAATAGCATCACAGAAAGCACACATATTCATATCATCCGCTGAAGCACCACCATCAACTGAAGGAACTTGGGACCCAACACCACTACTGTCTTCCACATAGGTTTCAAAATATTCATCATATATGGCATTGTCTCTAATGAAATTATGAAGAGCCATTCAAGTAACGATAATCTTTGATAGCTAGGTAACTGCAAGAGAGTGTGCAACTTCATCTTAAGAACTCCAAATGACCGCTCAATCACATTTCAGAGGGATGCATGAGCATAATTGAACACCTCCTTCGATCCCATTGCATGACGACCATGTTGCCATTCGGGCACATGATACCTTTGTCCCTTGTAAGGTGCTAGATATCATTTTCTATTAGGATACCCATAATCAACAAGGTAATACTTGCCTTCAGGTGGATGTGGAAATTTATCCTTGTAGATGACTAAAGTATCCAAAAATATCCGAGTGTCATGAGCAAATCCAATCCAACCCGTGACAACAAATGTAAATCGCATATCGAAGTCACAAACCGCCATGACATTTTGTGAAGCATAATCATGCCGTCCAATGTATTTTGCCTGTTCACTTTTTGGTACAGTTACAGATATATGTGTACCATCAATGACGCCTATGCAATCGTTGAAATGAGGCCATAACCTAGCTTTCTGCAGTTTTGGATGAACTGTACCAAAGTGTGGATCCTTAGGTCTTATGATGTCAATAGACAGTCTACAAATTGAGTCAAGTACCTCACTAAACTTTCTACTGACAGTTGTGGGCAATTGTGTGGCATGTTATGGGCAAGCACTTCTACGCATATTTCGCTGAAAACTTTGGCGACAAAAGGATCCCATTTTGCTTGAGGTTTTGCTGCTTTTTCCATCTATAAAGTGCGACAAATCTAAATTTCTAGCAACACTACTGCCTAATTAAAATTAAAGAAAAAACTCATGCTGGAATTAAATAAACCAAGTATCAAATCTTGTACTTTGGAGCATAACAGAGCAAAGTGTTGTTACAGCCTACAGAACCAAACTGCATTTTGCAAACAACAAACAAAACACTGCAATTCTGCTACGCCAAATTATACAACAAGCAGTGAGCCATAGTTTTAGACAAATGATGCATTTTCAGCAAGCATTGGCACTAGCAGTATCTGGAAAAAAAATAACAAAAAAAAACTTTTAGCGGTTGCATACAACAAGCTCTGGTGCCATCTACTCTTGCTTCCATGCTGCAACATTTTTATTAGAAGTGAAAGCAAGGACACGGTCTTATGTGCTCACCTTGGCTGGACGGGCGTGATGATGGTGGGGATGGGAGGGCAGCAGGCGGTGGAGGCCGTCGAGGTCGGAGATCCGGAGCCCTTGCTGCAGAAACGTCGAAGGGGGAGGGAGGGAGGGAGGGAGGGAGCCCTCGCCTCGGCCCGAGATCCGAAGGAGGGAGGGAGGGCCACCCCGCCTCTGATGGAGATCCAGCGGAGGGGGATGGGAGAGCCGCTGACGCCCTGGATGGAGATCTGGTGGAGGGGGAGGAGAGGGCCGCCGACGCCCTTCCTTTAGATCCGGCGGAGGGGAGCCAGAGAAGAGGATGCGAGGACCGGGCCGAAGGGGAATGGGAGGGGCGGCGGAGAGGTAGGCGGCGGCAGTGAGGGAGCGCACGGGAGGGGCCGAGCGCTCGGGGGTGTCGGTCACGGGCACGGGACCGCTCGGGTCGGGAGGGAGGGGCAGGGAGAGGAAACGTGCTCGCGATTTCAGAAACGCGGAGTCGAGCTCGCGATTTGGAAAATGTTGCGGGCGACCGTGAGTCACAGACGCACGTGTGCGACCAGACCCATATCGCAAGGCGTTTATATAGGATTATTGGCTTATCTGACTCAGAAGCTGAGCAAACGTTCTTCCAAACAGGGCCATAGCAGCTGCGAGGAACCAAACAATCCGAGCCATTGTCATCCCTAATCGGATCAGTCCTTGACTATACTCGTATGCACATTCCTTGGGCCCTACCCCCAATCCACACAACACTGTGCCTCTGTCCTCTGAAGGCCCAACCAAAGCCCAGCCCATCGCTACCTCGCTCGGCTGCTCTCCTCCATGAGACCACGACACGAAACCCTGGACTAAACCCTGTCCCTCGTCCAGTCGTCCCTCCCATTCTCCTCCCTCCCGGCGCCGGAAAAGCGTCTTCACATTCACAGCTCGCCTGTCTCCCTCCCTGTCTCTTCGCCATGGACCCCAGCTTCCGGTTCGAGCCGGACAGCTCCGACGACGAGGCGGCGGCGGCCCCAGCGCGGGGCGGCCCGGCGCAGTCGCCGTGGGAGTTCTCGTCGTACGCGGAGTCCGTGGCGGCGGAGCACGCGCGCCGCCGCACCACCTCCATCGACGAGAAGATCTCGCACCTGCGCCAGGGACGCGGGAAGCCCGTACTCTCCGATGACTCGGAGAGCGACGCGAGCGGCAGCGGGGAGGATGATAGCAGCGACGACAAGGAGATAGAGGGGGGGAGCGGTGACGAGGAGGACGAGCTGGAGGAGAGCGAGGACGAGGAGGGGGTCGACGGGGAAGCCGATGACGAGGAGGAGGTCGAGGGGAGTGGCGATGAGGAGGCGAGTGGCGATAGGGAGGGGGATGTGGACGGGAGCGACGAGGAGGGAGGAGGCGAGCTGGGAGAAGAGGAGGATGCCCATGAGGTATGCTTGGGGTAGTTTGATTCATCACCACGCTCTTTTCTGTTCAGTTTAGCTGCTGAGGCTGTGCTCTTCACATGACGAGCTATGTAATTCGTTAGGATGGCAAGCCATTTAAGACCATGATGTTTATGTATCCATCACCACTCCATTTGTACTGTCTTTGAAAGTGTAAAACGCCTATTAATCTGTAATGGCAGGAAGAAGATATGGCCGAGCAGAATGACACGAGTGGACCAGTTGATCCTTCTAAGTTTTTCGCTTCTTCGGAGGGGGTATCGTTTCATGCAAATTCGTTCCTTGAGCTTAACTTGTCTCGTCCGCTAGTTCGAGCTTGCGAAGCACTTGGCTACCAGAAGCCAACTCCGATTCAGGTTTGCACTCGCAACTCTTTATTGTTTGGTCATGGTTGAAACTAATTATAGGTATCAAATGCCCAAATCTGACTTCTTACAGTCCTTGAGATATTTCAGATTCTCTAACCACCAGATATTAACTGTAAGATACTACTCCAATTCCTAGTTTCACATGTTAAAAGCTTACTAAAATCTAAAAAAAAGCTTCACCCGTGTCTTTCTTGTTGGCATCCTGTTGGTTAAGCTAACTGGAAGTAATTTAAATATAGACTTCTAGTTTTTGAAGTATCTTGTTCTGTAGTTGCTCTGTAGGAGCGAGAATTTTGAAGGGACTGGTGATATAATTTTTTGGGTCAATTGCCACCAATTAATCCATGGAGAGGTGGCGATTAAATGGGATTTGTTCTCGTGATGGATACTCTTATCCCATTGTGTGATTTACACTGGCACATCTTGTGATTGTGAAATCAACCCTATAGTTACTCAAATATTTTTGCCAAATAACGTGTGAGTAAAAGATGCAATTTCCTCCCCGATCCCATAATCTCCCTCCCTTACACATCACAGGAGTTATTAGGTCAAACTTGTTGGCAGATGAGATTCAAACTATAGCAGGGCATTAAAAAAATTGATCCCTGGGGGAAATACCTCGCCTGAATTGTTGCATTAAGAACAGGATATCAATACAGGGCGAGAAAAGGGACCGAAGGCTGGACAGCCCAGGAAGGCATAAACACGTTGAAAGTGCCATATCTCAGCGAGCAAGCCCCTCCCCCTTTTTCTGAGACCCAGGGTTGAACCTGGTTGGTGGCGTCACAACTGGATGCCCTACCACCACCCTACCAGCGTGTTCTCTATAGCAGAAATTCAGTTGTAGGGAAAAGTGAACAGTTGTAGAAATTCAGTACTTCAATTGATCTTGCACTCACTTATAGTTTGATAAAGATGTATCTTTGAATAATTATTCCAAATCAATTAGCATTCTATGTACACTTTTCCTTTCTTGTTTAGATTGAAGTGCAGATGCAACAGTCTTGTGAACTTATTATATAATGAGTTATTGAGGTTGTTCAAAGTATAAATGATTGTAGGATGTAGTCTATGGGTTCAAGCATCTTCACATTTTATTTGTTTATTTTGAGGATGTAGTGGATGAGCGACATTACTATCTTTTCTTTTGAAGGGAAACATAACTATCTTAAGTGCCTAAAATTGTCACAGACTGTTTAGATCCATTCTTCGTTTTCAGAATGAAGATGCTATGTTCCTGTAACATGAACAATGGGTATGAGAATGATTTAATGTTTCACACTGAATTTTTTCTAGGCATTGGTCTCATTAGTTGACCTTTGGGTCTGTATATGTTGTTCACCTGTTCCTAATGTCAAATATCCAGTCATTGTAACCCTGCTTTAAAAGTTAAGTACTGGCCTTACTGGCTCTATATGTATTGGCCACTTCATATTGAGTGGAGCATTGTAACAGGAGATACTAGTATGATACCACTGAGCTTGTACCCAAGATCAAACTTCCATAACTGCTACATTTAATAATGGTTGGTAGTTAAGCAAAGTTTTCTTTTGACCACATTTTGATTACATGTGTTTATATTATATCCCATTGTTTAGCAAAATACGATAACTATGAAACTTGCAACGTAATTTGGTTTCCAATATCATTTTTGCTCAACTCTCTTCATATTCCAGGCTGCTTGCATACCTCTGGCATTAACTGGAAGGGACATCTGTGGTAGTGCTATTACAGGATCTGGAAAGGTATCTCAAATGAACATAAATATTATTTGTGTGGTATTTTGAGGTAGTATATACATAGGTTGACTAATCTCTTTAAGTTAGACAGCTGCTTTCTCTTTGCCTGTGTTGGAACGTCTACTTTTTCGTCCAAAGCGTGTACCTGCAATAAGGGTGCTTATTCTTACTCCAACCAGAGAGTTGGCTGCTCAGTAAGTTCTATAAATTAATTGTTTGATATGATCATCTTTCGTCTTACTTCATTGTGTTGTTAGCCCTTCAGACATAATTAAAACTACACTTGTATTATCTTAGCATGGTCCATTTCCTATCTTTCATTGTTTATCACCAGGCTGCCAATGTTTTGGTGGTGTGTTATATTCTTTGATAGTATGAATGCTGGATTTTTTTAACCTTGGTCTTAATATTTTCTGTTGAAACTTTGCTCTTTTGGTCCTTAGATATATTTTTTTATTTTTTCATGTTACTCAGTTATTCTTGATTAACCCTTCATATGCTATCGACTTTGGGTTTATTGGGCTGTTTGCATATCTGCAACTTTACAGCTTTATTTGGAACCTTTTGTTATTTGTGCTGGGCATAGTGCATCAATTTGATATTTGCGAGGAGAGTTTTTCTCAATAATATTTTAGAGTAAGTGGAAAAAGGGAAAACAATGGAATCAGATACTATTTATGTTTTTTCCTTTTGCATTGTATAGAATATTAAATGAGAATATCAGCATGCTAGCAAAACAGAGCTGCTCTATTCTTCTTTGTTGTTCACTTTGCTGAACTGCTATAGAAAGTTGTCTTAATTCATTATAACAAGTGTTTTATTTAACACTCAATAACGTTATTTTTTCTCCAATCAGTATCAGTTACCATTTACTTAATTACTAACATTTGTTCCCCTACATATGCAGGGTCCATAGTATGATCGAGAAGTTAGCCCAATTTACTGATATCAGATGTTGTCTCATCGTTGGAGGTCTTTCAACTAAGGTTTCTTGCTTGCGTTGAGTTCTATTAAGTTTTTGATGTTTTCATTGGGTTTTAGCTTTATAGCGTTTGATATTCCTGTGCAGAACACAATGTTTTCTGTGCTTTAAGGTGTGCATGTACTCCAATTCTGTCTTAGTTATGACTGCATGTTAAGCTAGTGTGGTTTGCAGGTATATTCTATTTGCTTGCCCTTCTATTTGCGTGTAAGAAGGATATGGATCTGATCTACTGTAGTAATGGTTTACCTCTGTTCAAACTAAGAAAACTTGGAAAAGCAGAGATGTTTTCCTTGCTTGAATTGCCCTCTACCATCATGAAAGTAAAATTCCTGAATAGTCATTGTATATAGTTGTATTTCTTATAGAACTTACAGGTTTGACATCTGGCTTGCTATTTCCAGCACTCTTATTAATTTTCATGTTTGTGTTATAGCATGTTGTGTTGCTATATGTACAAGCTTCCATTATTTGATTTGAATACTACAATCTTTCACTTCTGTGGTCATAATTTTCATGTTTGCATTCTTCTGTTATTGCCCACTACTATTTTTTTTAGTTAAATGCTTCCTGATGTTCAATTTTATGGTCCTGCTGATGAAATGCTGTACTCAGGTTCAAGAAGTTGCTCTAAGATCAATGCCTGACATCGTTGTAGCAACCCCTGGGCGCATAATAGACCATCTGCGCAATTCTCTTTCTGTTGGGCTTGAAGATCTAGCTGTTGTGATCCTTGATGAGGCTGATCGCTTGCTAGAATTGGGTTTCAGTGCTGAAATTCAAGAACTGGTAACTGTTGAACTCTGGTTTTGCTGGTTCCTTGTTGCATTTGCTTTTGTGGTAGATTTCATCATTCAAACAAATACTGGAATTGGCACTAAGAGTCTTTGTTTTTCTTTGTGTTGTTTTCATTCCTAATGCACTTTTGCCTAATAATCATTGCAGATTCGTATGTGTCCTAAAAGGAGGCAGACTATGCTTTTCTCTGCTACAATGACAGAAGAAATTGATGAACTTATAAAGCTTTCACTAAACAAACCTGTACGTCTCGAAGCTGACCCTTCTCTGAAGCGGCCTGCAACGTTGACTGAAGAGTATGCTCCACCTCTATAGTTATTTCTCTTTAGTCCTCCCTGCCCCCGCCCCCCCCCCCCCAAAAAATAAAATAAATTTATTGTATGATCTGTGACTTTGTGAGTTTCAACATCTTCATCTGCTCAATGATATTTTACTGAATATATATATAGAACTTACTATATTATCATGTTTGCTCCCAATTTTACACAGGGTTGTTAGGATACGGCGAGCACGTGAGTCAAATCAAGAAGCTGTTCTTCTTGCACTCTGTTTGAAGACTTTCAAGCGAAGTGTTATCATTTTTAGGTCTGTGTTCTTTATAACTTGGTAACCTTTTGATCTGAAGTTTAGGGATCCTTTACTGGGGATACAGTCAACATTAACTGTTTTACTCCTTATTGTGTTAACCTTGAATATCTAAGAATCATGTTGAACTAGTGTCTATGTCTAGTATTGTGGCTGAAAAGATAATGCGACGAACACAATATATTCATTCATGCAACGTTGTCATAGTCCATCGAGAGGTTTGATGCATGTGTATGTATATCACAATTCTAATTTTATACCGCACATCGGTTCACCACCCATTCATGCAATGTTATCAGAGTCCAAGGGATTTGGTGTATGTGCATGTATACCATGATTGTATTTTTATACCACACATCAGTTCAAGCACTCTTGTGTGCTGTTGTTACCCCTGATTTTTATATTATTTATTGTTTGGATACATGTTTGGTGATATTTGATAGTCTATTTTACTATTTGTATTGTCGTATTGATATTTCATGTCTTGGCCCCCTGCAGTGGGACAAAGCAATCTGCACACAGGTTAAAAATAATATTTGGTCTCTCTGGCATGAAAGCAGCTGAACTTCATGGCAACCTTACACAAGCCCAGCGACTTGAGGTGATTTTATTTGTTATAGGTTTCCCTTGGTTTTGTTTTGGGTATATGATATCAATTGTAATGTTGCAAAATCTGTTATTTCAATGTGTTCACTCGAAGATGTTGGATAGCTGTTGTAATATTGTGTATGAACTCTCATTGGTAAAATCAGCTTACATGCGATTACGATCCTTTTGGCTCTGTAGCTCACGAAATGTGCTCCACACCTCGATTTACGATCCTTTTGGCTCTGTAGTCCACGTAATGTGCTCCACACCTCAGCTTATTGAACAGTTCTGATGGTAAACTTACAGTGTGATGCGAGATAGTTGAGCTTAATACCTTGATCTGAATTATGCTCAGCTAACTTCTTAGGATTGTAGAACCAAACCACATTACCTCAACTTAGTGAAGAAAATCTCCACACTCTTGACTTTGACTCGCACCACATAGATAGTTAGAATACGTTACACGGTTTCTCCAATAAAGGAACTGCATAAATTGATTGCTGTCACTGTCTAGGCCCAACTGGATGCTTTTGGATCACAGCATGGCAATCTATTACCAGGGATCCAGCATATATTTCTGCCTGGATAATCTAAGCTATAAGTTGTTGAAATTGGAAGATTTAGATTGGATGTTACATCCGACAACACACGTGTCAATTTTTTTGGTAACGTCTTAATGTTTACATGGATCCTGCAATTCTGAGATTTTCTGTTAATTGAATCTAATTATCATATATCTTTTCACCGATCTGAAAGAGAATTATGCTGTTTGATTTATTACAGGCTCTGGAACTTTTCAAGAAACAGGAAGTAGATTTTCTGATTGCAACTGATGTCGCTGCTCGTGTAAGTGACTTTGTACTTCTCACATTGTTATTTTTCTTTTACTTTGTTGAGATATTGCACTGTTTGGTGCTAGTAACTTAACAAAAAAGATCACTGTATTGTAATGAATGATATTAAACAATAGAAGATATACAAATCACTATTCAAAGGATTTCTTGACAAATTGTTGGTTTAACTTTTAGGGGATTGATATTGTTGGCGTTCGGACTGTAATAAATTTTGCATGCCCAAGAGATGTGAAAACGTAAGTGATACAATTGACCTTTTTCCTGTAAATCTTATTATGATTGTTGCTATTTACTTGGTTCATGTTCAAGCTTCCTGTCCTAGGGCAAAGTTATTGATGCAAACATTGTCCAATTGATTATTGAGTTGACTCTATCGTTCATTATTCACTTAGAAACACTGCATCTGTAGTATATCTATTGTTACTAGACTTAGGCTCTTTGCTTTGCCATTTTTCAATAAATATAATTGGAAATTTTTGTTAAGATTCTTTATCAACTTTTCCAATATGCGCTATCTAAGCCCTTGTGAAGTTGAGGTCACCTTCAGTGGCATGTCTTCTCGTTCAAATACCAAAATTTTAGCAACCAACCTTCTCTTAAATTATTCCATTGGTGTATTTATACAGTAGTTATGTTTATATATTATGAACTGATTAATGAGAGAGTTGGAAGGGTGGGCCTGGTGCAAGCGGTAGAGTCTTACCGCCAGTAACCGGAAGGTCCCGGGTTCGAGTCGCGGTCTCCTCGCATTGCACAGGCGAGGGTAAGGCTTGCCACTAACACCCTTCCTTAGACCCCGCATAGAGCGGGAGCTCTCTGCACTAGGTACGCCCTTTATTAATGAGAGAGTTGATTGTTCTAGAAATAAGTGTATTTTATTACCATTATCTGTTCTCAAAGTCAAACTCTCTACTATAAAACTGTTTTTCATGGTTCCTAAGGTGTCCTGCCAGTTGGTCTTGTCCGTGTGGCATGTTTTTTTTTCTTATTTTTCTTATCACATTTTCTGCCATTGTTCTGTTTGCACCATGATTTTTTTTTTCTTTTTGTTTATGTTTTGTACATGCAGACTTGCTTGACCTCATTCCATAGCCACCTTCTTTTTTGTTAAAAGAACTTTGAACCGTGAATTTTAATAATGCCACTTGTTTTTGCGGCTTCCTAGTTCCAGTTGTATTTACTTTTGATTTTAGCATACTATTTCGTAAGTTTGTACATTGTTTACGTTGTTGCAGTTATCTTCATCGTGTTGGCCGCACAGCGCGGGCAGGAAGAGAAGGCTATGCCGTGACATTTGTAACCGATGATGATAGGTCCCTCTTGAAAGCAATTGTAAGTATTTGTGTGATATGCTAAAGGCTGAAAATTGTTGTAATTCTTCAGAATAGACGTGCTCACAGATGTGTTGTAATTCTTTTAATCGGATTGCTTAAGCAACCTTCTAATTAATAGAATTGCAACCTTTTCCAGACTTAGCCTGCTGTTATTTTTGTAACTCCCTTCATTCTAAAGCTTGGTTATTTGTGTAAAATAAAGAATGGGATATTTCCATGTGGGCTGTGGGCATTTTCATCCCGACTTACCTATTATATACTTGTAGTATATGGGAAACATACCAAGCAGGTTGCAGAGGCTGGTTCCTTGAGTCACATGTCTTTTAATTATTTCTGTGCCAAACTAATAACAGAAATGCACTCATCTATTGATCTGTGGAGCTCTTCTGAGTGTTGGTGTTTTTTCTTTCTTTCTTTTGCCTCGGTTGTTGCTTATTGGTTTTATTTGACTTACCTTTCAGGCCAAGAAGGCTGGTTCACAGCTGAAAAGCCGCATTGTTGCAGAGAAACCTGTGGCTGAGTGTGCACAACTGATTGAGCAACTAGAAGGTCAAATTTCTATCATCATTCGAGAAGAAAGGTTAGTTTCATGCTGTTATGCTCTTAACTTTTGTAAGTTCCATCCATAATGTGGATATTTATGCCCTTTTTAGGGTGGAAAGAGAAGCGAGAAAAGCTGAAATGGAAATCGCAAAGGTTATTTATTTTTAACTTCAGTTTTACCTAAATAAATTATCTTCTTTCCTGTGAATTTCAATTACTTGAACAGAGCTGTGCTTCAGAATTCTGAATACATTTGTACCTTTGCCATTACATATTTGAATATACAAGGCAGAAAATATGATAGCTCATAAGGATGAGATATACTCACGGCCAAAGAGAACCTGGTTTGCTACTGAAAGGGAAAAGAAGCTTTTGGCAGCAGCTGCTAAAGTAAGCATATCTGAAATTCTTTTGTACTTCTTTGGGCAAGACGTTATGCGTTTAGTCTTCTAATTTATACTTTCTGCCATTGTACTTTCACGCATATATTTTATGTGACTTCTACGATTTGGTTCTGATTGGGTTGTTATTTGTTTGCTGTCATTGTTTTTCATTTTCAGTTGCAAAATCACCTATCTTGTGCTTGAATATATTATACACATGGGATTTGATGTCTTACCATGCTTGTAGTAATTTATTTATATTGAAAGAGACTGTTGATGTTTCCTAAACAAAAATACTGTTGTAAATGGCGCTTCAGTGGAGCATGGTGCCACCTAGTTTTTGAAGTACATGAGCCCATTTCTTGATCGGCTCACTCAGGCTCAGATGAAACTCTGAAGAGCCACTTGCTGGCCCCAAGTCCATCCCATTCCTCCATTCTCCACTCACTATCCCACAGCCACATATCCATCACATTCCCTTCAACCTGGCAGTTCTATGCTGCTTCACTTTGCTTGGAGCAGCGGAAGAATCTGGTATTTTGGTATACAAATTGCACTTTGGTATGGGAAGAAGAGAAGCCCTCAAAGACCAGTATTGCCTACGCCCAACCTAAGTGCACTAGGGTGTCCACAACTCCACATTGGACCGCTTGCAACAACTTGGCCTGCTTCGGGTTACTAGCTGAAGGATAAAGAAACAACGATTACTTGCCATGCTTCAACTTTTGGTCTATGGGGGTATCCCCAGGTCACTTGCTTGTAGTCACCGCTGACTATATTAATATGCTCATCTGATGCACCGATAGACCTGACCTTGCAAATTTCTATGGAAATATTTATCTTACAATGTTCTTAATGCTATCTTGTTATTGCTAAAATTTCCTTTCTTAAAAGCAAGAAGATTATTCTTTTTCTTCCCACTTAGATGGGGCTGAAATTCTTTCTTTATCCTTAGTTCGAAGATATCCACAAATCATCTACACATTACTATATCACTGATCTGGCTTTGCTTTTTTTTCATCAAGGAATCTTTGGATCAAGGTAAGAGTACCTCTGGAGTTATTAGTGCTAAGCAGGCTGAAGACCTCCGTCTGAAGGAGAAAAAGAGACGAGAGCATGAGGTTTGCAGTATGCTTATGAAGTGATGTTTGGATGTATTAATAATGTGCATGTGATTTGTTTATACTGACATTCTCTTCTCATCTTTGTTTTACAGAAAAATCTACCAAGGAAGAAACGCCGAAGACTAGAGGCCCAGCGAGAGATGTTGGAAGATGAGGATGAAGATGACGAGGAAGCAAAGGTTCAGTTCTTTAGTTATTTTGTTATCGGCCTCTGCCGATTGCTAATTATCCCTATGGATTTGATGCAAGTAACTACTGAATTATTTAATTGAACCATGACATTGATGTTACACCAGCATTGATCACACATGCCCCATGGGCCAATATACAGATAGGTGTGTGTGTACACTTTGTGTAGAAGCCCCTACATAGTGAAGGAAATGCTCGATGAAACAAATACATGTACATAGGTCATGCTACAATTAACTTTGGTATTCTGATCCAGTTTGCAGTTGCTGTGTGATGGTTCTGTGCTGTGGAGTCTAGTTGTTTAAACCTTTGCTAATTTAGTAATACATTGATGTTGATGCTTCGAAAAAGATGCTTTCAACTTTCACTTTTTGTGAAAAGAATTGTGCAACACTTGTGACAAATTCGTGTGTGAAAGTGTGTCTTAACTGTACATAGAAACCTAATTGCCTGTGAAATAATAACATAGGAAGTGTTTCTTTCAACAAGGTCTGGTTTCAGTTCCATTTGAATTGGCAATTAGTTTGGGCTATTGCATGAACTTCATATTGCATTTGCCATAATCTGAAGATTTAGTCATTTTATCATCATCTGTATGCAGAGGTTGGTCACTGTAACTTATTTTTCTTTTATAATGAGAATTGGATGTTATGTTCAAAAGCTATACTTCAGAAGGCGCATTCTACTAATCTAGAGGTTGATTCATTTCTAGGAAGCACCTCTTTTACCACCTTACATAACGAAATTAGATTTGCCATGGGATGTCATTTTTATTCTTTAGGTCTTTAGTTTCATATGAAAAGAAACTTGGTGCTGGTACATGTGGTTCACTGCATTCAGTTCTAAGGATTGAAGAATCTCCTACAGGAAAATGATAGAGGGAAGAAACCAAAGAAAGGCCAATCTCTAGTGGATGCTGCTTACCGAAAGGCAAAATCATTGAAGGCGGCCAGCAAACGGGGTCCTGGTGCAGGCAAAGGAAAGAAAGAGAAGAATGCAAGACAACATTCTGAGAAGACTCTGAACAGGCATGAGGAGATGCGTGAGCTGTTCCAGAATGATATGAGCGAATGGAAACAGGGACGCTCCTCAAAGAAAAACAACAATTTCACGCACAAAAAATCAAAGAACACTTTTAAGAGCAAAGCAAGGTATGCAGCACAGGTTTAAATTAGAACTGTTTGCATTGCCAGTCAACTGGAAATGGAAATGGGTAAAAGTACCTGATTGAGCTCTTGTGACTACATGAGGCTGCCTAACAAATTTTTGCATGTGATGAAAAATGTTAGGTGCTACAGAATTTGTGATTTGAGTTTTTTTCCCCCTTTTTTTTGGCAGGTACAAGCGCCGGAAGTAGAAGACTCGGCCATCTCCGGGTTTATATTACATTCCCTTGTCTCAATTTTAACTGACTGATCCTGAAGAAGTCTTTGGGATCCAGATGTTTCCATTCAGCTTGCATTTGCTTGTTGTAAACTTATGGTCATATCATGTGTTGAAACTTACCGTTTTCTGATGCCTCTAACGATCTCGCGAGAGTTGTCAGTTTTGACATGTGTCGTTGCTCGTTTCGTAGTTCGTACTTAACTCAAATCTTACGTGCCAGATGCTGTTGTGTGGAAACGTCGACCAGCTTGCTATGTTCCTGCGCCTTGTATGCAATGGCAAGTTTGCACTCAGTATTCCAGTGCAAGCTTTTGCTGTGATGTTCATCTTCCGGAAAGCAAATTCTCATTTGAAGAGCTATTTGAATAAAAATTGTTCTATCTTTCTATCTTTCAGTAGTTTCTTTATATCTTGTGTGCACTTTGGAGAGCTATTTTTGCTCTCCATCTTTGGGAGGGTGACAATATTTGGATATCTAATTGAAGAAGTTGTTGAAGGACCTTTTATCAACAAAATCTATGTTCCTATTAATATGGAAGGGTACAAAGAGACTCAATATTGAAGGATAAAAAGAGACTCTTGGAGGAAATCAAGCGAGCATTAGATTAGCACCATGCCTAACGCATCCAAAGCACTGCCGGCTGTGGTTTTTCTGACGTGCTCCATTGTGCCGGTGTTTACATGGGCATTCCGTTCCCTAGAACTAGATTCATCTGAATCAAAAAATGATTCAGGCGAAGCAATAGTGGAAAATGAATCATTTTTTTGCTATATGGACGAGACAAGGGGAAGAGCTGTCTCTTCGTGATGAGCTAGTTATGTTTAATGGGCCAACAATAACATCATCTCCAATCATCATTCTTTGTTTTGATGAAGATCCATTTAAGTTTGGATAATACGTAAAAGCCTGATCATTAGAGAAGTAATCTTTTAAACAAGCTCTTGTTGAATTGGATATCACTCGTAGGCCTTAGAATTGGCATAAAGCTATAACTGTTGATGTTTAAAGTGATTATGTCAGTCTGTTGATGCTTGTAAGGCTGTGTTTATTGTCTATGTGAGACTGTACAGTGTTTCTTAAACTATTTATAAGACGTGTTCGCTTGCAAGTTTTGTGAACTATAGTTGTCATTATATATATTGTTATGATGGTGGTCAATTTGAGCTGTCACTATTTTGTCTGTCCCTATGCTTCCATTTTGCTTTTCTGTTTCCTGACCATTATCAACATATTCCGTTCATCTTAGTTTGTTTTCGATTTGCCACATATTTCATGTTTGTTATTATTCTTGACATCCGTGGTTTTGATTTCGTTTTCAAAACAAAATGTGTAATTGAAAGTGGGAGTGTGATTTCCCCCACCACCATATACTCCCTCTGTCCCTTTTAACTGTCGTTCTTGCTTCCCGATAAGTCAAACATACTCAAATTTGACTAAATATAAGAAAATATCAATATTTATAATACATAATTAGTATCATTAGATTGATCATTGAATCTATTTTCAGAGTAAACTTATTGAAGCTATGAATGTTATTTTCTATAAACCTAGTCGAACTTAAGAAAGTTTGACTAAAACGTTTCCCATAGCGACAGTTAATAACGGATAGAGGGAGTATTCGTTTTCATTCCTAAAACGGCTAAACCTATTGTCATCCCTTGTCCGGCTAATCCGCCCTTCGGCCAGCCGAGTAGGTCGCCTGGTGAGCCTTTCGTTCTCCCCTCATCTCTATTTTACTTTTCAATCTCCTGAAGATGTGAGATGTGATTGCTTAATGTTTATGTACTAATGTACAGTACATAATATATTAGGATTACTAACAATGAAATTAGACAGTTGCTGTTGCCTTGTGGATTGTTTGAAATAATTTTATTGCAAATATTGTAATTTATGCTTGTTTCAACTTAATTGACCGGTTGGTTGAGCACTCCGGGTGGCACCCTTGCGACCTGAGTTCGATCTCGGGCGAATTGCAATGCCGGAGGTAAAAAAAACCTCATCTGCCCTGCGTTACCCAAAACAAAGGTTCGTGGCACCAGCCCACTCACAGGATAACGGGCCCCTGTGTGCGGATGGAGTACGAGGTTCTCTACCTTAATGCGAATGCTCGGGGCGCATGCTATCCCCTGCCGTCCATGTTTTTTTTTAAATATTGTGGGGCCTTTAAATATGTTGTTATGCTTTTAATTATTTTATTCTTATATGTGAAATACTTTGGTAAAAAAAATTTACTAGCTTTGTTACTTTGGCAAATAAATATTAACGAGTGATAATATATATTACAAAAATGGCGAATAGTGTTATGGAAAAAAATAATATTGCTAGATTGAGTACCCATATTCGTTAGCTTGTTCTAATGCATCTCCTAATTAGTAAATTAGACCTCAATCCCCTTGCACTTTTCATATTTTGAACACATAAAAGCTCACAACCAACAAATCAGTAATCCGTTTGTGTGCTTTTGTACGGCTTCCTGCAAGTCTCCTGTGGTTGATTTTTTTTTTGTGCCGAGAAGATAAGAAAACTCATCTATTTGATGTATGTATCTAAGGCTGAACGAAAAACTCTAAGTTCGTTAGCTTGCTCGACTAGGCTTAGCTCATTAAGATAATAAGTCGAGCCCAGTTAAGATTTTAGCTCGTTTATTTACTGTAACGAGCCGGTTCGAGCCCGCTCCAAGCCGCTCACGAGTTGAACTGCTCCAGGAAAATAAACCCACGGGTCAGACTACCGCCGGAGCCACACACGGGCCACAGGCCCACAACCCTCACGCACTCGGCAGTCCTGCTCGGCTGCTCACACGCACAGGCACCTGGCCGCCGCTGCGCCGCAATCCCGCGAGGCCGCGACCGCAGCACACTGCACACGACTGTGCGAGCCCGTGACCGCGGCCGGCGACGGGGCGAGACGCGACGCGAGTCAGGCGACCGCGGCCAACACTTCTCCGCGACCCAGGTCTGGTCCGCACTCGGCCCTCTCTCTCCTTTTTCGTCTTGAACGCCACCGCTCTCGTTGTTCCTCCTCTTGCTGCCTCCATCAATCTGCTGCATTCACCTTGCTTTCGTTAGATTCGGATTTCCCTTTTTCTTCCTCGGTGAAGTGATTTGCCTGTCGATTGCCGAACTGCTGCTGACCCTGCTGTGCTCCGGCCAGGCACCGGCTCGCGAGCCAAACGAGCTGGCTCGAGCTGGTGGTCGTGCCGAGCCGAGCTAGTTTTTTTTGGCTTGTTAGCTATGACAGCTCGTTATCCTAACGAGCCAGACCGAGCGGAGCCGAGCTGGCTCTTCATCTATCGCTCTATCTTATCGTTAAGTCATCACTCGATGCCTGGGCCTTATCTGGTGCGGTAGTGTCTAATGGGCTTTTCTACTGTTTCTTGGCCCATATGGTTTACCTTCGTTCTGACTTCTGAGTCGTGTCTTCTACCTCAACTCGAAAACACACAGGCACTCCGAACAGAACGCAGGCCGGCGGCGGCGGAGGCAGGATCAGGTTCCTCGCGGCCGGCGTTAAGTAGGGCGGCCACCCTACCTCGTCCTACTGGTACGTCCGCCACGGAGCCGCTGGAAGGAGGCTTTGCGGCGATGGACCGGGTCGGCGGCGGCGAGAAGCAGCTGGAGGATTGCACAGTAGCCAAGTCAGTGATCTCCCCGCTCTCTCTCCCTGTGCCTCTCCCTCTCTGATTTATGGATTAGATAGTTAGTCCCTTCTCTCTGCGCCGAGATTCGCAGAGCTAGGAACCCATGTCGATTTGGTGACTATCCTCCCGCTGCTGTTGGTAGTAAGGGTGCATGACCGAGATTTATCTGCGCTTCTCATCCACTGTATTGCTTATTAGGACGCTAATTGTTGCGGAGACGATAACTTGGATTCGTACACATCCTATGGTGTTGCGAGCGATGGCTTCTGTTCGAAATGTTTGCTACGATTTTGTAGCTTGCTTGTACTGATAGATGCAGTCTTGTGCACTGTGCTGCGTGACTGAAAATGTAAAAACTGACGGCCCTTTGCAGTCATGCCTCTAGAAATATATATTTTTACAAAGATATAGCCGAATTTTGTTTGTGCACCTCAATCTCGTTGCGTGAAAGATAATTCATTCTGTCAAGTCCCGTGTGTGCTGACTAGCTGAGAGGGGACTTATTGGGCTAAATGTACTTTTGAGTTACAAAGAAGCAGGGTGAGTGTCACAATCCTCAATGGAAAATCAGAAACTGTTTGTCATTGTATGAAATGGGCTGCATAATGTTTCTAGCTTGCTGGTGACTCAGTAACAGATTTTTAGGGGAAAAAAAGTTTATTGCTTATCACAGGGCCATGCACATCAAATCAAAAGCATTGTAAGAAGTTTGATCTAACATTGTCAGGTAAAAGAAATTTCAGATGCTTTGCTATAGTGTGAGTCTGCAGAAGGGGTAAGCGCTTGCCCCTGAAACAGAATTTATAATCAAGAAACCAGTAACATGTTTGATGCATTCTTCAGAATGAAACTGAGGCTGATGTCAGAAATGGGGAATGTGCACCTGTCAGGTTTTATAGATGATTTCAAGGAAAAAATGTTGAATTAGAGTAATATAAGAGTTACAATATCTTATTTTTCTTAAAGAAAAAAAGGGGCTGTATTCTGGGCCATACAAGTTCCTCGGTATTGTTTGATTACTACAGAAATACAATTCAACTTCATTTCTCTACTTCTAAGTTTGGTAAACCTTTCAGCATTTTTACTGATTGTTAAGTACAGCTGGTACATCCATGATAGTTTGCATAGTAAAAGTCTGTCTACAAGTTTACGTACAATATGAGGTCTTCAGGCTGGATCTCAGTTTGAATTGGCGCAGCTGGTTTAGTTCAGACTGCAAATTCAGCCATTCTTTACTAAGGCATGTTTATCTGAATTCAGTTGGGAACTGCATTATATTTAAGTTTTCATGTTGTTTACTGTGTGGGGAATTTGTTGTTATATGGCTATC